AGAGTTGAACAAAATAACTCAGCCTGGCTAACTAATGAATGAATATTTGCTGTAAAATTCTTATCAATGCTATAAGTGTAGCTACCTGTTTGTCTGCCAATTTTGATTTCATTCCTTTAAGTCGCACACTCAATCCTTTTTTTTAGGCCACAACTTTTTATTGCACCTAAGGTGTTTTTATTTAGATATCATGACTTTTTGAAAATACACACCAACAAACTACAGCAAGTAAGAAAGTGACACTCAATAGTAACCCATGTTAGCTTTAAGTCCCAACCCTATTAATCAGAACAGACCTTTATAAAGCCAACCAGATTCTTTAAGATATATATATATATATGGGTAGTTTTCCTCTCTAAAGCAGTGTTATTAACTTCCTTTATACCAACGCCATGGAATTTAGATTAACAGTTTCTTGTCATCACCCCTTACAATCAGTACAGCCATATCAAGCATCATTATTTATGATCTTGAATAAGGAGAATTTCATAAAATTTAGTAAATTTGTGCTGAAAAGTTGGCAGTGAATAATCAATAATAACCGTCCACCCATACAATTCTTTTTGAAAACTTGAGGTATAAACTGCTAATCTAGTTTGCTTGGCCTAACCAATACTTATGTATCTGCACATCCTTTCACCTTATATTTTTGCTGCTCTAAGTCAGTCATCTTTAATCCAAAAGACTCAAAACAGTCCACTTTTACTCTTAGGTGACACTGTAGTAAAAATGTTACTGATAGATCACAACTTTTTGCGTAGGCATGTTCAAATTTTTTTTGTCAAATTGAGTGGTTTCTCTAAATAACTTTGCAAAAGTGGCTTATATTTACAACAAATGAGACTCGTAATTGTAGGTAAAAAGGATCTACCAGCGTACCAAATTTGAAAAATATCCATAAAAGTTAAGTATGTTTTTCTATCAAATAAATTTTCTGTAATTTTGGTGCAAAAAAAAAAAATAGAAAGAAACTTGATCAAAATTGGAGATGTTATATCTCAGGTATTTCTTAATGGACTTCCTTGAAATATGATATGTAAAGTAAGAGTCCAGTAGAGCACATCCACTGAAAATATGTGATATTTTGGATTACCACAGTCCGAGATACAGAAGATGGGAAAATTGATAAACTATCACTCCTGTTAACAACACACAGTGTGTCCTGCAGCAGGTTGTTTTGGCTGCACGACACACTATTGTGTATCTTGATCTCTAAAAAGCTACTTAAATATTTTGTCTCTATTAGGAATACCTTTTTAGTGGATTTTTTTTTGGTGACTGTGGTTGAATAGGTTTTTAACTTATTCTACTACAAAAAATGTTTTTCAATTTAGCTGGACGAGACAGTAGTATATAATAATGAAACTACTAAAATGAAATAAAATAGCAATACCATAATTCCACATTCTGACAAAGTCGTAACAAAATGTTGTGCTGCTGGTAACATTTTATTTAAGAAATTGAGTTTGTATGGAGTCTTTTTTTTCTTGAAGATGGCCATTAACATTTACCTTCATGTCTTTCGTTAGACTACTGCAGTTTGTGGCCCTAATATTTATATAACATTCAATGCTACCTTTTATTTTTGCTGTTTAGTCACTTTTCACATTTCTTGAATCTAAGTTTCCTAGACTTGATTAAAATTTATTAACTTTTCCATACTCTGTTCCTTGTTTAAATTGTCTTTATCCACAATGTTCCAATTATATTCCTTTACATGTCTACATTTTCCCTTTTTGATTGAACACAGTGCTGAGGTGGCCACATTTGTATTTTTGGGAATTCCACATTACTCATAGCATTTCAAAATTGTATCATGAGATGCATATTCAAAATGGCCACGTCCATAATTTTTGTAAAAGGGAACATTCAAATCAGCTCATAAAATCACGATTCCTCCGATTTCTGGAAACACAATATCGTTGTTTTTTGGTGTAAGGTTTGTTGCACTTTAAATAAACACAATCATGAAATAATATACAAAACACAACACTAATCAGTATATAAATGATAAATGACTTGAGATATTGTTTTGTCTGTAAAAAACTCTGCACTCTTAAATTTAGTAGCAGACTAGAGCCATAACAATATAATTATTTCAAGGATTGATTAACCTCAAGTCCCTTACTAAACACCAGAATTAAAAGTGTTTTGAAGATATTGGTAAAACAAAACTGAAGATATAAACAGCAAGCACTGTTATCACTTGACTGCATGCTTTTATGCACATCTTATTTAGACATAAAAGTTATTAAGAAGTGCGAATAAGACAGAATACACAAGATGTAAATCTGCACATTAAATACTGGCAACACAGGTGAGATTTGCTACCCTTAATGTACATATGGCCATATATAAATTTAAGGAAAATTACTTCAAAAATGTATATAGATATGAATTTCAAAAAACAAAGACCTTAACAGTTCAGTAAAAAAATTGAAACTTTTGGACCAATTATCAAATTTTATACATCTTTTATGGAAGTCAAGCCATTTGTGGTGATATTTCGAAAGGTGCTATGCTTAATATGAGCACATATACTAACAGAAGTCAGATGATGGTGGCACAATTCACTCGAGTAAAACTTGTGGCATGGGGAACTTCACCAATTCTAGATGTACAGAATTAAGGCATCACACAAACTACCTTTGAAGCTTACAAAATGATGTAATCAAATAAAATATTAAAAGGTATAAGATAACCATGCATATAAAAGGTTTGTGCATTTACTTTCACTTAAAAGCTATTTGAGTCCCATGAAAACCACAGCCAATATAAAGGTACAGTGAAATGACACGTATCACAGCTACATTGTGACATTGTTTGATATTTCATAGGTGGTGTGATGTCATTGAAATTGACTGGGGTGTAATAAGTACTAAAATATGTTACTCAAGTTTCAAGTAAAAGTATCCATCCTGAAATTTACTTAAGTTACAATAAAAACGTATCTACTGAATAAGTACTCAAGTAACAAAAGTAAAAAAAAGTACACATTCATCTGCAGTTCTCTCAAACCCTACATGTATGTTGTGGGCCATGAGGTCAAGAAACAAAACACAGCACACATTATAGACACACAGAATTATTCACATGTTTAAACTTGGCCAGCCACTAAGAAGCAATGTAAGCAATGCATGCGATTGGCTGATTTAAATCCCCATGCATGCACGCCTTGCGTTTTGACTGCCTGCCACAAATTTGAGTTTTGAGAATAGTAACGAAATGTATAAAATGAAAGGTGGTGGAGTAAAAAAACAAGTAATTTTACTAAGAATTACTTAGATTAGAGTAAAAGTATTTGAAAATATAAATACTTTTTAAAAAGTACATATTGATAAAAAGTTACACAAGTAAAGTTACTTCATTACCTTTACACCACTGGAAATTGATTATTTTTCTGATGGGTATGTAACAGCTCTTTACAACACAAAAGATATATTTTCCAAGACAGTTATATCCCTTATATTTAATGGGCATTGGAAAACAAAGGAATATGGATGAACTTTGGGAATCAGGATCATCCAGCTAGAGACTTGCAACAAATCCTACCCCTAGCAATGGTAAGCAAAAAGTCAGTGGCAAAAGCTGCCATGAGCACCAGGCAACATAAATAAGAAAGATTTCCATTTGGAAAAGTGATATAAGTTATGTTTACACAAGATTCTTACACAACATATCCTTTAAACATTTGCATACCTCAAGCAGCTAAAGAATGAAATAGGTATTCATGCTATTCCTTATAAAAACATACCAGTCAAGCCACCAGGAACAATGTCTATGGATTTCTGTTCAACTGGACTGTTTAAATGGCCACTGGAAAACCACTGTCTTCCTACACTAAATAGATTATGGAAAGCCACAGGGAGGTGGAGTTGTGCTTTGGACACAAGAGCCTTAGGATGGAGCCTTTGGCAATGAATACTACACTGTAGGGCTATTGTCAAGATGCACAGTTGACATGTAGAGCATGACTGGACACTATGACATAGACTGCAGCAATGTGGTGAGGCTATAAAATCATTTTAATATAATATACTAAACCTCTACAGTCTGTAATTTTGTATGCATTCTATTTTCTTCCAATGCCTGTAGATTTGATGAAGCCTGATAGCTAAAGATAAAAATTATTCTGAATATGATATTTTTTGGAACCTCTGATGTACATTTTTTACCTTTACCTCTTTTCACACATAAGCACGTTTGTCAAAAATTGAAATTGATTTGAAACTCTAACAACATTAAAATATGTGCTGTACTAGAAATATTAGAAAACTTTTGCATTCATTATAAACTCATTTTGACCTAAATCACAGATTTATAATTGATTCAGTAGGATTTGGCCTCACTGAAGTGAATAAAGGAATGTTCTAATGTATACAGATAGGTGTCAAAGAAAGATACCACAGATATCTGTGATGACTTTTTTTAAATTATCAGTGCCTAAAGATTTTCACAGTCATTTTGTTGAAAAAAGGTTTGCAAGTAATATCAAATATAATATACACAGTAGTTTTTCCGAAGAGATTTGTTCACATCATTATTTTATAACAATAAACACACACATGAAATATACAGTTCCTTTGAAGTTTGTAAACATTTAAATCAATATCCCATTTAAAAAATATAACAAAAGTTTATCCCAAAAGCTGTCTTTTTTTTATATTTTTTATACATATATAAATTTATATATTTAGCAGTAATTTTTATTATGGTTAATCACTTTATTAATTACTTCAAGTACAATTTTCTGAAGGCCAGTGATACTTTTTATTAAATAAGCAATAATACTATCAAAACATTATCTAGTATTTAATTACTTAAAATAATACTTAAGAAAAAAAAATACTTTTTCCATAAATTGAATCGAAATTCCAGCAGCAACAGACACAATAAGATGATGTGATTGTATGGCATTTTTCTCTTCTAGTTTCTTCAGAACTTGACTCACTAGGTGAGGTTTAACACAGAGGAATATCACTGTACATGCTGAAACAACATCTTCATTTGCATGTGTTATATGACATCCCATATCCTAAGTCCATAAAGAAAAAAGAAAAATATATTTAAAATGCAACTAGCAAGCTGTGGTAAATACTAATGCAAGAATTGTTCTAAAGGATTTACAAATAAGTCTACATATTTAAAGACTGGAAAACAATTAACAAGGAGGTGGAGAGAAATAGTGCAATGGGTATGTAACAGTACCTAAAAGCAGTTTTAATATCTAGGATTTCAACTATCAAAGATGGAAATACCCCTTCTACTTAATGGCATTGGAAAACAAAGGAATATGGATCAACTTGGGGTACAGGACTATTCAAAAAAAGACTTGCAACAAATTGTATTCCAACTGTGGGAAGAAAAGTATAACATCTTGTAACAAGTGAGAAATCACAAATACAAAGGTCAGTGGAAAAGCCATCCACATGTCCCAGCCAACAGTATTCAAAATAATCAAGAAGGATCTTCGTCTTCAAAAGGGACACAATTTACAAGCTACTTCCATAAGATATCCAGGGCAGAAAGTTCAACTATGGGAAATGGCCTGAATTGTACGTAGCCAAGGAAAAATGGCAATATATGGTGACACTCAATGAAGCATGTGTACCTTAATAAGTGCAACAAGTCTCATGCCATTTTCTATCAGTAAACTGGTGAATAAAAGTTTCAAAAGTGGTACACAGCATGTCACAAATTTTTGATGGAATTCATGATCATCACAGGATATTGCTTCAAGTGATTCTTCCCATTTAGTTGTTGCATACTTCAAAAAGCTGGTGAAATGAGGATTCATGCCATTTCATGCAAAGATGTACTGATCAAGTCACAGAACACAGTGCTTATGAAATTCTGTGTGATCTGAATGTTGAAACAGGTACTGGGAAACTATTGTTCTTGTACATTATATGAATAATGGAAAGCACCTGAGAGTAGTGATATGCTTTAGGCACAACACCCTTATGAAGAGCCTTTTTTTAAATATCAAGTATGCTACGGGGCTATAGTCAAGATGCATGGTTGCCAGACAGACCAGGACTAGATGTGGAAACATGGACTGTAAGGGGTGGTGAGACATTAAATCATTTCAATATAAAGTATTTAAACCTCTCTATGTCTTACATTATATAATTTGAGAAGCTGTCATATTTTTTAAATTCCAAACTTTGACTTGGGAAATCACATTCACTAAACATTTGCACAAAATAATATTAAAACTAAGTGAATAACATGGCCATTTAAAATAATTATTCACAGTTTCTCTTGCAGCATTAAATTTTGATTACATTACCACACATATCACTCAAATGAATTTACAAAAACAAATACATTTTCAGCCAACTATAGTAATTGTGTTTGTAGAAATCAAACAAGCCAGAGTATGTAGAAGTCAGATATAGGCTGATGCAATATACAGAAATTGTGGTTTTTGAATAATGTTTCCTGTGTTCTTAACTTTGTAAGTTATTCAAAATGTGCTAAATTAATTGACACAATTTACAGTAAAGGAAAATAAAAAAAATACTGAAAACACAAATACCAGAGTCACAAACAATGAGTAATTGCAAACTAATGTTGAATTTATTAATGATATGAAATATCACAGAAGATACAAGAGAAAAGTGAATAAGTTGTACAGGGCACTAGTATTTTGTATGCAAACTCTTTACTTTACACGAAGCATTCACCTTCTTTTGATGGTGCCGTATAATTTATCAATGTGCAATTGTGGTAAATTGTTCTAAATATCCTATATTGCTCGCCACAGTTTAGTCAACTTATATGGTTGTCTTATAACCTTCTCGTACAACCTTAACAATGTTACTGGAACTTTGTGCAGGCCAAACCATGCTGTAAGTGTTCCATTGGCCTCTTTAGAGTCATATTGGGTTATCGATGAATCCTTCCCAGATGAGTCATGTTCCAGTAGAATTTGCCTGCCTGTACCCTTCAACAGTCAGGATGCCACTGGTCTTGTGTAGATCACCAACACTGTTGTATGTAATGCAGACCCAAGCACTTACTGATCCCACACCATGCTTTTTGGAGATGTTGTGTACACTGACTGTGATTCCTTTCTCCTATCTGTTATTAAATGTAATCAAATGTTGCCAAACAATTTGAACTTGGATTCACCAGTAAAAGAGTAAATGTCTAGCTTTGTAGTCTAATGCTTATTTCAACCTTTTGGTTACCCCATCTCAGCAGTGGTTTTGAGCAGCTACACATTCACTGAGTTCACTTCATGCTAATATCTATCTTACTGTCCTTGAAGTAACATTTACACCCATATTTATACAAGTGTTGGTGGCAAGATCACTATCTCATAAAGAATCTACCTTTATTATACACTAATTATTTACATCTCATTCTAGCATTGATGAAATTCAGAAATAACTAACACTACATAGCTTTATTTTGGTACGAATGTGCTATAATACTCTTAAAGGTTACGAGTTACTACCCAAAAGTTTTCTTATTATATGTAAATGATATCTTCCTATTAAGATACTTCGTATATATATTAAGCTATTGGGACAAAACGTTTTACTAAACTTCAATAACTTATTTTTAGTTCTGAACACTAGTTTGTACGTAGAACAATGTTTGATTGTACAATAATGTCATGCCTAAAAAATGTCTCCATGTTAAATCATACATAAAAAAAAAAAAAACATTTCTAACCACTGTATTTGTATTACTGTTTTCATGCAATATAACTTTCAAAGAATTTTAACTTGTTATATACATGTGAACAAGTAACTTGCATCATGTTAAATGTGAATACAAAACACTTCCTCCCAAAGTTAAATTACATTTTGTCAATCATTTCTGACTTTTAAAAAAAGGTATAATGCTATTCAAAATAAAAAATTACAAATTTGTACACGTATCTTTTTTTTGGTAAGCTAGAATATTTTGAAGTTGGGCTTTCTCATTCATCTTGTAGCTGACAAAGCTTCTGCTCTAAAATTCATAAAGTAACCATCTCAACTAACTAATCTGTATTTGTTTCGAGGGGAAAAAAACAACACCTATATAATTCTACATTGTTATCAAACAATCACAAACATTGTTCTCAGTAATTTAAGTATTGAGTATTAATCGTAATGCTAAACATTAGTTTTGAGCAATTTAATTTGTATTAAGTACTTTAAATAGCTTGTATTAAGAATTACTTAAAACCAAAAAAAGCTAAACTAACTATACATTCACCACTCCTTTTTTAAGAAATCATGTAGCAATATAGAAAGATGTCCGAGTTTACATTTACCAGTTGATGGTGTAATAGAGAAGACTGTACATTTTTAACAAAAAACTTATATCAACCCTTTTGCTGTGCAATTAATTTTCAGGTTCATTCCCAAAAAGTGTCAACTATCCACCAAAAAATAAAAGGATGAATTCGACCCTTTGTATTACTTTTTTTAATACTGTGAAAAGCTATATTTTCTGTATCTGACAGTAATATTCCTTAAAAACCATATTGAATAGTGAAAAATAATGATCTAAACTAAAAATTGAGGAAGATTAGAAAAAAGTATTTTCCAGTAAATGGCATAAATATAGGCAAAACTAAGTCAATAAGAGGCCAAAATCATTACAAAATATAAAACAAATTATTTAGATAACAATATCCAAAATATATAGAACCTGTCTTTATATAGATTCTACATGTGTTCCTGCAAAGTTGGCAATTTTGTAATAAGGCATATAAACATCCAGGTTTTATGGCATAGAACACAGATGGCAGCACGCATGCAGGTTTGATGAATGTTTCAAGTACAGGGGGATATTCCTGCATGTTGTAGTAGAAACTTTTTTTTAGTAGCCATAGGGTAAATCTGAATTTTGCAGTCAGTGGATACAGATATTTATTTGGATATATCCAAACTACACAGCAAAAGGGTTAATTAGAAATATTCTGGTATGTTAAGTTAGTTGATAATTATTTTTATGGTATCATTTTTTTGTTACATTTTACACAAACCTTGAATGTTTCTAAATTGGTGGTAGTAGGTGCACTTGCCCAGATTTGATTAGGTTTGAGTAAACCTGTTGAATAAGAGAAGGTAAAATGAAACAAATAACTGCACAAAAAAGCACTGAATGCAAATTAAAAGAATATTTGATTTAATTAAAATTTGACTGATTTATTGTCATATAAAAAACAGATTTGTCACAGAATATCTTCCTGTTTTGTACAAATGACTTAAATGATTCTAAACTAACAGTGCACAACACATGATCAAAGAAACTATTCCACATAAGCTTGTATCTAGTGTGATATATCCAGGTGAAATGTAATTAACTTTAGAACTATATTGGATAGGTCTTGCTAGATAACAGGAGATTTGCTCAAGATACTGATTACAGAGTAATAATAAATTTATTACTAACTCAGTCGATAGAAAATGAAGTAATGAGACTTGATGGAAATTGTAAAACAAAAGGAACAATCTTTGTTAAACACTAAATGCAAGCACAGTGTATACACCTGCTTTTACTCACGTGAGATGGTTCCTTTTACTAGATAATAGCACTGACTACTGAAGACTAAATTCCATATTACAGTAACTAAATGATGTTTCACACCAGACTGACTAAACATAATGTTCCTTAGTGTTTTCATGAAACCTTGCATTTACTCAGCTGTACCATTGCTACTCACATGACTGATAATTCTCAGTATAAAATAGGTGGGGCCATAACCTCCATATATCAATTGAACAACTGTTGAAGAACACTGCTGTTTACATTCTTACACAATATTGTTATGCCTCCAGTCGTTAGTTGATTTTCCGTAACTTTGTTCCGACAAAACTTTAGCGACACAAGTCCTTACTTAATAAAATTGGTTTATTCTTTCCGAATTACAACTTTACGATACACTTAGTCTCAACAGTCGCGCTATAACAAATGCTATATCTCACGTGGCCAACAATATTTTCTCTGAC